CGGACCCTACAGGATGTCTACACAGGATCCATAAGGTGTTTATAGGGTGCCTGCAAAGAACCCATTCAAGATCTAAAAGAGAGCACCTGCGGGGTCGCAGGGAAGCTATACAGGGTCTACACAGGGTCCTTATGTTGCCTGCAGAGAAGCAATACAGGGTGTCCACGAAGCCCCAACGGGGTCCATAGAGAAGCCACTCAGTCTGCAGGGGGTATAGCTACGGGGTCCGCAGAGACGAATGTTACTCAAACAACCCAGTTGGGAAACTTCCATTGAGCCTGCCCTGAAAATGTGGCACCGATCCGTACTCGAGAACCGAAATACTAGTGATCGCAACGCCGCCAATTCTCCCGCAGCGACCATTCGGGGAACTGCACAGTTGCACAGTTGCTTGTATTGGTTCGAGAGTATCGCATTCGATTGCGTCCGCTGCGACTCTTCTATATTGGCTCTGAACGGTCATTTTGGCGCCTAAGCAAATACGGTAGAATGGATTTCAGGGATGCCAACCTCGACCCCCAAGCGGACGCGCCGCGAATTGCTACCGAAGTTAGGACGCGCTCAGCTAGAGACCCGCTACCTGAAACCACCGGTGAGACAGGCTTGTAACAAAACACTATTAATTCTGCCGCAAAGCCTTCTAAACTAAATATTCTAAAAAAACATCACGCGACGGTCATTTTTGTACTAATTTCCAATAAAAGCTCGCAGGAAAACAGCTTTTTTTTTCTCTCTTTTGTGCAAAAACATGCTTTCTAAAAGCTCATGATGACCACAGTAAAGAAAACAACATTGAGCCGCCATCTTGGCACCTCGAGCCTGGTAGTGTCGGTACTCTGGGAACATTAAGTATCTCTAGCATTAGCCGTACAAAGCCACTTTCATATTTCAATTCGTCGCTAAAGGGTGGCGTTGTTATCATATTTCGAATAAGATAACAGATAACAAAAGGAGATAACAAAAGGTAAGGATTATTTCGGTACATACTGAACACTTCCACCTCCACATGGAATATGCCCTGAAGTTGGACATGTCTCTAGACATCAATGTAACATATTGATGCCCGGCGCTTAATTAACAACTTTTTAACTCGGACACCTCCCTAGAACTAATTAATACCTACCGGCATCCCTTTATTAATCTACCAATCTATTTATTGCTCACACTATAGAGAGGCACTAAGGTGCCCATGGACTCACCAGGGCCACAGCATGGCAATGGGAAGAAATGAAAAATGCTTTTGTATCTTGATATTCTTATATTGTTCTTACGGCCGTTCTATGACAAACCAGCGGTCCATAAATGGTTCATGAACTGTCTACAGAATTTATAGGATGAACATAGGAATAATTGAATGGCACTAGTATTAACACAGGACGCCCATGTCTATTTTTGTAAGGACACTTCGTAAACAAATTCATTTTTAGAAATATAAATTACAGATGTATGGAGATTTATTCATCCAGGAGTGGACTGTCCGCTGAGGTTTGCTAATGCCAACAATCCTATAACATCAAACAAGGCTTCATGGTAACATTCGTTCATGAACTACTGTTGTCTTCATTAACTTAACCCAATTAAAATAGAGCTGAAAATGTTCTAAACCTTGTTTTATGTAACATATCAGTCAATTCTGTGACCCCTGTAATCAATTACTTAGTGCGAATAGGTGAGTTTCACCACCATTCGAGGTTATCTTCTACCTTCCACGAAATAAGACCAACATCCCGTAATTACTCCACTGACAACTATGCCCAATTAGATTATCCTGGCACATACAGATACTTCAAAAACTGATTGGAACGGGGTTCTTGCAATTACTGACACGGAAACGATGACTGAGACGTTTTCGACGATTGTTAAAAACGTTCTTCATAATTTTGTGCCTCAGCGAATTTTCAGGCCTTCAATTTATCCCGAATGGTTTTCCGAAGATTTAAAAAACATGTTTGCGTAGTAAAACAAATTCGCGTTCACAAACTCTTTAAACGAACTGGCAATTATTTATGGCAGGCACGTAGCCAGCATTTTGTTTCGAGAGAGAGGGGGGGGGGGGGGGGGCGCCTATGACACAATGCTGTATGAGGGGGAATGAGAAGAGGAGGGGTCCCAGCGAAATTGAAGATTTTGTGGGAGGGGGGGGGGGGGGGCAGGCCCATGCCCCCCCTGCCCCCCCCCCCCCCCCCCCCCCCCCCCCCCGGGCTACGTGCCTGATTTATGGTATACTCAGTTTAGCATTCATCGTGCTTTAGCTAAAAATTTGTACTCTAAAGATAAGCGCTTAAACCTTGACCAAATAGAGTGCTGCTTGAACCGAATCCCAAAAGATTTTTGGAGGTTTGGAAAACAGCACTCGCGCGATACTAGCCAAATTCGTTGACTACGCGACCGCTCACATAACGATAACTATGATTCCGACCCTGTAGAGGTTGGAGATATCTTTGCCGATTACTTCAGTGACTGTTGCTCCACCGTTAAAAAAAAAAAAAAAAAGTTCAGCCTAAGAGTATTGAAATGAAATGCCATGCCTTTTTGTCGGGTATTACAGTAAATATCGAAAAAATCGCTGAAGCTATAAAGACACTAAAACAAAAATTATCTCTTGGAGCTGACTCAGTTCCTTTTTTGTTATTAAGGCTGTCATGAATTGTTTAACCTATTTTGAAGCACATCTTTAACCTCTCCCTTAGTTCCGGTGTTTTTCCATCGTTTTGGAAGAACGCGGTGATTGTACCTACTTTCAAAGGGTGTGACACTTCTGTTACAAATAACTATCGCCCCATAGCTTTGTTGTTTAGGTTTTCTAAGGTGTTTGAACGTGTAATGCATAACCGAATTTATTCTTACTACCGCCTGAAATTTCTAGGTTGTCATCACGGCTTTCTGACGGGACAGTCAGTTGAAAGTAATTTGTGCACCTTTTTTAACTTCTGTTTCCCTGTTGTTATGAACAGTGGTCAGATTGATTTTATATATTTTAAAATGTAAAAGCGTTTGATAAAGTAAGCCATGACTTGTTATTACATAAATTATTTTTATATGATTGTTGTGCAGGGTTGTGCGAATTGTTTCAAAGTTACTTATCATTTCGCCCCAACCGTGTTCGAATAGGTAATAGTCGTTTTTTCCAATTCCGGCATTCTCCAGGGATCTATACTTCACCCTGTTTATTTCTTATCTTCGTAATTGATGTGGTCTCATCTATTTAAAATGCCGAGTTGTCGTTCTTTGCAGATGACATTAAGCTTTTTTATAAATGTGCATACCCTTTTCGACTTCGAAACTTTACAAAATGATGAGTCACGCATGGTTCACTGATGAAAAGTTAAAAGCTTGTCACTGACCCTTTCAAAATAAACGTCCTGTCCCTGTGCAGACGTCGTAAAGTATTGTATACCTATTATGTATTAAAAGTATTTTCAATCAAACACACCTTTGTTTTAAGAGACTTTGGCGTGAGCATAGATAATGAACTGAAGTTTTCTTCGCATGTGTCCACTATTGTTGGGAGTGCGACAAAGATGTTGGGACTGAAGTTAAGTATATAGAAGTCATGCTTATTAATTAAAGTGTTTTCTCTTGTTAGGAAAGTTTTTCTTTCCAGAGTTCAGTCGGCATTGTTTTTTTTTTTAGCTTTCTATGCTTGTGTCGGCGGGGCCAGAGCGGCCGCAATGCGGGAGCCGTTCCCCCACGGTCGTTAAGAAACGTCTCGGGTTTCGGGAGTCTGCTCGGACCGGGACCGGGAGAGCCCGCGCTTGAAGATGTTTGTGGCTTATTAGCGAATGTGCGTGTATGTAGAGGGTTTTGCCGCTTAGTGTAAAATTTTCCTTTTTGCCCGATGCAATAATTTAGCGGTTGGCGCCAGTTAGACTGGGAAAATTGCAGAGAACAACTCTACGAGAAATTTGGGTTTGGCGGTTGGAGCGCCGGGATAACAGCTCGCCGACCATTGGAGAACAGTGTACCACGTGTGAGTGGTGGAATTTGAAGAGATTGGTCGGTTCTTTAGGGGAAAGGAGGCCCCTAAGGGCCTACAAAAGAAGTGCGGAGAGGATTTTGAGGGATTCGGACTTTGGATTTGATTAAGAGAAATTGGGTCGAGACTTTAGACAAGGCAGGATGGTCTCCGAAGTTGGGACCTGTAACTGGAGTGTAAATAAATGCACATAGTTCTCTACAAGCAGCGAGTCGACCCGTCATTCAGCGACGTTCGTGCCACCACGCTCCAGACCATCGGAGCGGAACCTGCCTCCCACACCACCAGGAGGAACAACAACTACAAACTTTAACTGACTGATATCTTGCATTCTGCAGAAATTTAAAAACCCTGCCTGCATTATTTGTTTATTTTGCTCTCTAGTTAGGTCAACGCTTGAATTCTGTTCTGTATCTTGAAATTAGTTGTTAGAAACACAGTCAACAAAAATATAAAGTGTACAAAAACGCATCGTTTACGATCGCAATCTTCAGCGCCGCTTTTATTTTCTTTAGAACTTTCTTCTAGATAGGTTCTTGCTGAAGTCACTGTCTGACAGAAGGACAGAATGCAAATATTTTTTTTGCTCAATATAGTAAATATAATTATACATAATGATTCGCTTTAATCAAATGCAATCAAATGCATGTCCCATCCCGTTGGACTTGGAATCACTGTAATTTTTATGTCAAGACTATCTGCAGGTCCCCTTGTCACGCATACAATGACAGTTCGACCTCTTTGACCATCCAGGTATCGGAATATTCAGTGATTTTTTTCTGTTTACCACAAGAAATTGCAAGCGATCGCTACCCATCTCTGATATGTTTGTTTGTATTGTGTAAATTTGGTGTTTACACGTTCTTTGTGCGCTAAAGTGAAAACATTCGGGTGGTTTCTCGGCACACGAATATAAAGATTATTATTATGATTATTGTTATTATTTTTAATATTAATAATAAAGGTAGGTTACAAAACGAAGAAATATTTAAATATTATTCCAGTGAAATGTATTTGGCTCTACCTGACGGTTCTCCAGTTCTTGTATTTTTTTTATTAGCTTCGCTTTTTCAGTTTTCGCTTCCTCCTGCTGAGACATCTGGAAGAAAATAAACAGTCGTAATTATGTTCACTGAAGGATGCATTTCCTTGTTTATCCATACATAAATAAATATAATCATGATAATTTGACTTTATGTCCATGCCTTTGCGAATTCCGTATCCCTATATTTACAACGCGATTTTACATCGCAATTTTTATATTTACATCGCGAAGGCACAGAACGCCGAAAATTGCGTTCATAAGAAATTTGGCTTAGAGTTGCAGAACTGAATTGAAGAGGGTGGAATTAAATCATCATAGACAGCATGTGAGATGAGAAAAGAGGAGGAGGGCTGGAGACGATTCTACAGTCTACGAGAATAGAGGGTGGGGTAGTGTTAGGACCGAGGTGACTCGGCAATGGGAGCTTCTGAGGCTGCATGCGTAAACAATCACGGTGCGGCAGCCGTCACGATGGTAGAAATTCGTTGCAGCCCGCAAAGCTTCAGAGATATTGCTCAAGGCGTTTACAAACGATCGCAACTTGCCTATGACGGTGCATGCTCCCAACTCTACCAACCTTCCCAAGAAGCACCAATGTCGACACCTGTCGCGACCTATACCAGGCTCCTCATGCGAGCCGCTGAGGTCCTGACACTACCCCTATTCACACCTGTGCGGTACCCACTACAATTAATGAATTTACTTGTACTTGAAAATATTTTGTAGCAATTTTAATCATTTATATACATTTATTACCAAGTAATGGCAAACATTTTTTCATTACTTTCGGAAGTATCAAAATTACTTCCAACAGTTATTATTTTTCTCTCTCTCCTTTCTAAAGGCGCCTTTGTTCCTACAAGTTTCTGTACAAATAAATCATCAAACCAAGTTTCCGATAGAAGGGTAATTCATAAAAGATTGCTTGCTTAAGAAGATAATTAGTGTATGATTTGTGGATCCTAATGCAATATTGAACAGATAAAAAAACCCGTTTTCAAACCGCCAAAAAAAATCTGACGCCTTGAGAATCAAGAAATCGGAAAAGTAACGGCTACCTTTTCAAGTAACGAACAATTACTTTATTATTTAGTAATCAAGTAATCTAATTGAATAATTTCTAAGCTAAAATGTTTGAAATTTGTTAAATTATATTTTTTTTTTAGAAACGTGTACAAGGCCGTGGGCCATATTTTAGCACAGTAACATTTGTGCAGACTCACGGTACCCGATTGAGGTTAACATGAGGTGAAGAGACTCCTAACCCAAATCATATCTGATATGATCGTATGTTAATGCCCCTAACCTCGCACGGAGCATGGAATTTGTAAATCCTTAAAGTCTCTGAAATGAGAAATTAATATTTCTCGCAAGTGCTACGAGTAAAACCTGCACATGAAGAGTTCATTCCTACATGCTTGAAGAAATTTCTCTGCGTGGCAGTTTTGTTTTTGATCGTCGGGCGAAGCTGATCCGGATCATATTGAGAACGGTGCACTGTTCAATGTTAGTACACTCGCAAGCCTTTTTAACAAAGATTCAATCGTACTGCTTAAGTCTATACAAGTTGCACGTGCATTTCTAGTAAAAACATTTAACTATATTGTTGTTTACTGAAAATGAATATACATACGTTGCGCCGCTCCATATCTTTTATTTTTTGTTGAAGCTCCGAAATTGTGTCTATCGCCTTCTGTAATAGGAAACACAATAAAACAAACACTCCCCAAGCAGCAGAGGCCATTGGTTCAATATTGGGCATATCTCGGAAAAAGAGGGCCATTAACGGCCCATTGTGTTATCTCTGTAACCAATATTGAAAATGTATTGAGAAAATGAGCAATGATTGGCCCGCTTTATCTTTTCTATGACCGATATTGGGAAACCGATATTGGGAAACCATTGGAATCCTATTGGAAAAATCGGAAACCACTTCCAATGTGGTGGTAATGAGCTTCCAATGTCGCCCAATATCAGAAGGTCATTGGCACCCCAACGGATAAATTGGATACCACTTTCAATAAATTTCCAATGGGATCCTAATGTTGTTTTATATTGGGCAGTCATTGGCACCCCATTGCATAAATAGGATACAACTTCCAACGAAGTGCCAATGAGCTCCCAATGTCGCCCAATATTGGACGGTCATTGGCACCTCAATGGATAAATTGGATACCATTTACAACAAAGTGGCAATGGGTATCCAATGTTCTCATATATTGGGCAGTCATTGGCACCATTTTGGATAAGTTGGATACCACTTCCAATGAAGTGCCAACAGGCGTCTAATGTTTTACAATATTGTGCTGTCATTGGCACCCCATTGAATAAATTGGACCACTTAAATTAAAGTTCCATTGGCCCGCTGATATCGTAGTTTTCAATGATAAAAAAGTAAGTAAAACCATTACATGAAACTTATTTATTAATTAGTTTATTAATAAAGGTTATTAAGAATCTAAATATACCAAACGTTTTTAGGCTGTTTTTGTTTTTTTCTAAATAGGCTTCTTGGCAGACACCAACGTGACAAACTCTTTCTGAGAAACGCGTACTTTCCGATGATACAATTTGGCGAACGGCCCACGGAACGCTCCACATACGAGTGCACTAGACAGGCCACTAAACGCCTATACAAGAAACACAACAGAAAAAGAACGTATACTCACAAACATCACTTGATTAAGAAGTGCATTTTGTGGGTCCTTCTTATGTTCCTGCATCTCTTTTCTTGGGGCCTTAAAACGCTTGTTTCAAATAGCTTGTAATATGAGCAATATCTAGTGGTTACGCATTAGCTATATTAAAGCTTAAAATATTACCAAAATAAACTTTTTCGTTGTCAAATTTTACGGAGAACAACTTTTGTCTTATTTGTGCAAACACACACAGCTCAACAAAGTCACAAGTGTCCCTTTGGCTTAATGCCGATATATCTTAGACAGGGTATTTAAAACGTGTGTGAGTTGAGGCTCATGAATTATTAGCATGCTGGCTCTTGCTCTTTATTATAGAACGCCGCTAAGCTCTATTCGTCCTGATAATTGATCTATGCTACATGTGTTCGTTAACTACAAGGGTTTCTGGATTGCGGTCTATCGAAAAACACCATATTTATCAATATGCTTTCTCCACTGCAAGGTATTGGTCTAAATGTATTTTTGAACATATTTGTCTGGGCTGAAACACTATACGAGCGCCTATCTTCCGAGGTATCAACTGAAGGTAAAATGCGTTACTAAAAAAATTAAGGAACTTGTTGAACATGGGTGCCAAGAAATATTTTATACATCTATGTACGTGTATAAATCCAGCTAAAGAATTGAGAGTATAAAACCTGTTTATGTAACGAAGCACAATATACTCACTTTCTCGCTGCATCCAAACTCTTTAAAAGCACATTCAATCGAAGCGTCTTCGCAGATTTCAAGGTGCTCGTTTTTCTGCGAGATCAAAATTAACGATACTTGGATATTAAGAGGCGACATTTTATCTACAGCGTGCAACAAACCACAGTAGCAAGGATATTTTCACCAGCAAAATGAATCACAGAACGTTCAGTTTCCGGCCAAACAAAATGTAGCGCTAGCGGTCTGTACGAGGCTCCAGTTTTGGAACTAACCGTTATCTTATTCAAAAGATTACTGATCTTTTAAAGGGGCACTGACACATCAAAATCATATTTTTTTTTATTATCCGAAACGATTGAAAACAATGCCGGGACATTACCCTCAAAATTTGAAATTTGGGAATTCAGCATTTGTGAAGTAAAAAAACAATTTCCAAATGCCGAATTCGAAGTTCCCGCGCGATCGGCGCCGGTGCCTTGACGTCAGAAATTGCGGAGACCTGAGAGTCCACTTCCTTTCACCACTCCCTGCTGTTGCCATGGCGACCCAAAGCGAGGAGGAAAGGAGCGATTGCCGGCGTTGCGGCGGACCGGTTTTGAGCGGTGTCGCCTGTTTTCCGTTGGAGGATACAAATCCAGGAGACGGCACCACAACGAACTCCCGATTTTTGGTATTTCGAAAAGAAGGGCCGTAGTGCGTTCGCAATTGCGTTAAAAAACATGTTTTAGGATTGCCGTAATTAAATGTTATAGAGATGTCGCCTACAAAACTTCTAAATTTCATGATTCTTGACGTCACCGATCAAAAGAAGCGAGGAGGCGAGAGGCGGGAAAATCAAACGCCAAAAATAAAAAGGCACGCGCGCGCGCGGGAAAATTTTTTTTCGCGATGCGGTTTTTTTTGCGTTTCTATGACTGCAACTTGCATCGTTTTAGACAATAAAAACAAATACGACCTTTGGGGTGTCAGTGCCCCTTTAAGCCTTTCAATAAGAAAACGGGGCTTATTCTCCCTAGTTTTCGCCATTCAGGCCCATGTATTCGTAGGCTTTTTCGGCCACCAATTTACCATTAAAAATTTCCCAAACTATCGAACTTTTTAACGATATAACGACTCCTTGCGAAACTTTGGCGTCTGGTTCCACCTGCTAGCGCTACATTTGGACCTTGTATATTCGAAATTATTCCAAACAGGCCATACTGTACGCGTTTTGTATCGTACATTCCGCGAAAACGGGCACGAAGAAATCTCTCAGCTCGTCAATGTATGGTACACATCGCGACACTGTTAGCGCGAACACGACGTCGGCGCATTTTCGCATTTTACTTCTAAATAGTATTAGCAAGCCCGGATTTTTATGGCTTACATTACAGAACTAAATTAGCTCTTTCCGTAGCAACAATAACTTGAATGACATTCTCTGGTTTCAAAGAGAAAAACTGGAAAAACCGGCGATCACTTGTTCGCGCTAACAGTGTCGCGCTCTGTACATATTTATAGTATGAAGGATATGAAAAATGTTTGGGGACAGCCTTTATAATATTACAATCATAATCGAAAACGCGAGAAGCTGGCCACACGCGTTTTTAAATGAGCATTTAAAAACGCGAGTGCTAGCCTCGCATTTTCTTGAGTAGATGCAAGTTACTTGAGGGCCAGCCGCTCGTCTTGGTCAGTAGTTGCCTAATTACTACCGCGGTGTCAAAACACGCAACCAAGCAGATGCCAACACTCTCAGAAATAGCCGGTGTACAGGGGCACGCCCCTTGTCTCATATGGAACGCCTCAAAACTACATTTCGACGTTCTGTCCACCGACGTAGAGCTGGCGATACCAACTTTTAAGAGGCTTGATGGTCGAGCGATACAACTTATTAAAAGAGTTAAACAGATGAGCGCGTATGCTATTAAGTACATCATATATTTACTCATTAATAGCTAATATGTACATAGCTAATGAGTACATTAGCTATTAAAATAGCTAATGCACTCATTAAAGGCTGCAGTAAGAAAATAAAGGTTTTGACCCTGCTGCAAAACTTCAGTGATCTTTTTTCAGTCTTTGATGCGCACATAAGCTATTTAGTACGTAATATCCAACACCTATAACGCTGCTCGTAAAAGTTGCTATCGTCAGCTCGACGTCAGTGGACAGAACGACGAAATGTAGTTTTGGGGGGCTACATATGAGACAAGGGATGTATCACTGTTCATCCCCTATTTCTAAGAGCGGACAACGCGCTCATCTCCTCGTGCGAAACAAGCAAGCTGTCCGGGCTTTTAGCATTCCTGCCCAGCACTCCTATCTTTATCTTCTTGTTTTGTTCTTTTTCCACTCCGGTGCGCCTCCTGTATAGGGCCGTTCACGAGGAATTCGCTGCACAGTGTGAGTTTCATCTTCTCCGTTGTCTTATGTTACGCTCCCGGAGTTCATACTGGAGTTGCCGCGGCGCTGAAAACGGCGGCGCTGCGATCGAGTCTAGCCTGTGTCACATCCAGTATTAGAACTTCCCTTGCCACGATGGTAGTGGAAACGAAGGATTCCTTTTCTGAAAGGAAGCTGCCCCTAATGAATAATTTGACCCCACTAAAAATAAGTTCCAATCTGCACAGATCAATCTTTGTCTGGCCAGAACTAGATGAACAATTGATACTTTCGTGCGTGAAAACAATAAGTGCGTTTCGCGCCGCCCTAAACAATCTAAACATGGCAGTGTCTGCTCTCCTCGCATCCGGCAGAATATTTCCTCCAAATTGTACAGGCAGTCATCTCCCATTAGTGGTCTGAAATCATGCGACGACTGCCGTTAGCATACTGCCTTTCTTATTATTCCGGCATTTCGCGGAAACACGCTTAATTAACACGTTTTATTAACACTCGTTACGCGAATTGCTCTATGTAGGGACGTTTCGTCGCGCGTCACTGGAGTTCGTGATAACCCACTCGGCCCACCCGTTAACGCCGCTTGGAGACGACAGTCTGGGGCGGTTCACTACAGAATAGAGCTAATCTAAGCTGGCGATGAAACACTGCTTATCGACAAAACGTCGTTCCATGAACTGATTGGCCCTGCCAATGAGGGGCGACAGCCAGTAGAATCTGGGGGAAATTATTATCTTTGCTGCCGGGTGGATAGACACTTTCTTTTAACATGGTACTCTCAGAATGAAGTCAAATGTCCGTTTTGACGTTTATAACTCATACTCACTTCATTATCGCCTTTCAGTTCCAATTTGCAGTACTCGCAAGCAAGTTTCTTTTTTTCACACTGCTCCCTGTGCTCCTGTAATTAAATATATAGTTCAGGCTATCTAGAAGAATAATCGAAAGCATCAACTACAATAATCAATGTCACCTCGTTTATAGAACAATACCAAGAGCCTCTAGCTCTGTTAGTTTATCTCAATTTTTTGTGTACAAACCTAGCTTTCAAGTACTGCGGTCAACGCACCGCGTTGTTGTTAAACTATTTTTTTTACTTTGTTGTTATGAAACAGTTACATCAGTGCAACTTCTATTATCTAATTAATACAGTCGAACGAACATTCCGTTATTAAATACATATTCTTGCTAATTTGGAAACGCTATACAAATAGGAATTATAATTATTTCCAGCTAGCGTTCATTTAATATTTTTTAATTATTCAAAAGCGTATAATTTATTAGCAAACATTATGCGATGGTATTCGCACTCTTATTGTAAAGGACTGCGGCGAAATGTTTGCTCCTATTTTTGAGAAGTTGTTTTGCTTGTCGCTGCAAACGGGTGTATTTTGGAAATATTCAAATATTGTTCCAATTTTTAAATCTGGTAATTCTAGTGACGTCCGCGATTACCCTCCAATATCTCTGTTCAATGCATTCTCAAGAGTATTTGAGAAGGTGATGTACAACAGCCTATATAATTATTTTAAATGAAAGGTAGTTTCTATGCAACATGGATTTCTAGCAAGAAGATCCGTTGAAACAAATTTACGCACATTTGTCAATTGTTCAATGCCAACTGTTCAGAGCCGGGGTCAGGTAGATGCAGTATTTTTGGATATGTCCAAAGCCCTCGACAAGGCCAATCATGCATTACTATTGATATAACTTTGGGACTATGGGCTTTGTCTTGAATACAGTACGTGGTTCGGGAGTTTATTACATGAAAGACAGAACCGTGTTAGTGTTTTTGCCTACTTGTCACAACCTTTAATGTCTATTTTGGGTGTACCACAGGGCTCGAACCTTTGTCCGCTGTTGTTTATTATTTTATAAATGATTTACTGTTCTACGTGAAATACTCGTAGGTGCTCATGTTTTGCAGACGACGTGAAACTGTTTCGGGAGGTGAACATTGTCACTGACTCTGCTTTGCTGCAAGGTGGCTATTAAGTACAAAGATGGTGTATTCTGAACATTTTAGTTCTGAACCCTCGCAAAACCTAAGTGATGCCTCCGTCCACAAAGCGTAGCACATTATCTCATATGTATTGTGAGAAATGAAACTATAAGTCGGACCACAATAGTTAAAGATCTATGGGTGTTTGTGAATTATCAACTTTTTTTTTATTCTCGTGTGAACTCCACTGTTAGCCAGAGTCGGCGCATGTTGGGTATTGGCCAGCATAACTAGACCATTCAGCACTCATTATTGTCTGTTGCGACTCCTCAGTACTCATGTACACTCTAAACTTATCTTTGCATCCGTCAATTGGAACTCTAACGAGTAAAAAAAATTTAACACACACAAAAATCAGTTCTGCGGATTTTCAATGACAGATATTTTGGTCGTAAATATTATTTTGAATATAATTTTATTTTATCCAAAACTAAAACTGTGCACTCTACGCAACAGGAGATCTGTCCGGGATGTTAAGTTTTTGCACAGGTTGCTTCATGGGTTCATAGACAGTCCTGCACTTCTTGCTTATTCAGACTTCCGTATTCCGATCAGTGTAAACTCTAGAAATCTTTTTTTTACCCAGATATTCATAGCAACTTGCCAGCGGTATCACGAATTCAACATGTTTTAGACACGAAGGTTTGCAATGTTGATATTTTGGTACAAAATTGCCTCTTGTTTGTACAGGGTTGCTCTAAAATTGCCTAAACTTTTATCATAGGTATTAATGTAAAGCATATGCATGGGTTTTCAAACATGTGTAAAATTTGAAGCTTGTAAATTTGTGATAAGTAAGCTTTTTATGCTTCGTGCTTTACCGCAAAGGCCTTTGAGCTGCTGGTAAGCACGAGAAATTAAACATTAAATTTATTTGATTCCTTCTATGCTGACACCTTGAAAGGTGGCTTTGCTCGCCAACAAAATTTGTTTTTGGAGAACAAACACTTGCTCAAATTGATTAAAGACTATACTGTGACAATATTGCGTGACATCATCATTGACTCGGCTGCAAGAAAAGATTTCCTGCGCGTCTTTCGTACAAATAGAAATAGGAAACGAAGATACTTTCTTTTTTAGGTGTATAAAGTATCTGGCTACTATTTTGAACTACACAGGAGATATAACATGTTAGAGACTACAATAAAAAGATTTCCGCCGTCCTTCACGCTCTTGGTGAATTTTATTTTTTAAAAACTAAAAATATCTCAGCTTTGAAAGATAGAGAATTGTCTTTTTTTATAATTCACGCCACAACACAAAACAAAATTACGGGTGTACTTTATTACCTGAACTCAAATAAAACCACCCAACAATGTTGTGTTTTGATAACTTTTCTTTTTTATTTCTTCTCGTAAAACAAAGCTTAAATAAACCCCACTTATATCGCCCTCCCTTCAGAATGACTAGGAGTTTTTAAAAAAATGAAATATATAGGCAGATATTATTCTCTACTTCAAGTGTATAATAATATTATCAGGTTTTGACTAGCCCTTTTTTGTACCTTACATTAGCGCGTTGCAGGAAAAAAACAACGTGACTACTTGAATATTGTGACGGCAGCGCAATACGTACAACTACGGTACGTGGAACGCGTGTCCGCCTGGTGTGTTTACCGTGTTCTAAAAAGTAGTCTGTCCATTTTCCGCCTAATGTCGTCACAGAAGCGTCACGTTCTCGCCGACCGCAATCCAGGCAGTGTCACAGCAGCGGTTGTGACACTGGCAGACGGCTGTTCTACTGCAAATCGTTTTCCACCTTGACAATGGCATGGAAGCTTTAGCAGCCAGGACTTAGGTGTCCACGACGACAGGGACACTCGCGTTCAGCCGTACTTTTTGTAAACGACTTGTAGCACCAAACGCCAGGATCACAACATCCGATAACATAATAATTTAGCTTTTGTGACGTCATTTGTTACCCCTTCTTTACCACTTTTAATGCATGGACGCTATTGGACGCTAAACACACAAGTCGAAGGTACGCTTCAGGCACCTTAGTACAACAAATCCCAATCATCCCAATGCGCTTTCCCACAAAGAGAAGCGATTAAGAAGGGGAGATAAGCTTTAAAAAAAGAGGAGCTCTCGGCCTTACAACGAACTCATCGTGGAAGTTCGTTGTAAATGTTTTTTTTTTTTGTTTTGTTTTTTGCTATATTGAACAACTTGCTATATCGAACTGATCGTAGCCTTTGCTGCGATTCGTAATAAACGGGTTCAACTGTATACCCATCACATTGCTCTCCAAAATTCAAACGTTTTTAAAACTTCGGGAAGTAATTTTATTAAAGTGTTTTTTTTATTAAGAATGCCGTCGACAACCTCCACTGACCGCAAAATCTGATTGTAGCATGTTTTAATATTAAACAGGTTAGCTTTACGAACAAAGAAAATAACTATTAGTTTCGTTGACGTTTAAAAAGACTGCTCGTCACGCTACAATGATATCATCTAGGAGCTATAGGTATACTTCAAATAAAATCAATATGTTCCCCATACCATAACAAATGCATGCTGTTTAGTTTTATTTTGAACTGACTTCTTTAAAACAAATGCTGAGAGTTGCATGGCTTTACATCCAGCACGTATTTTTCAGGCTCAACGGACATTAATTAAGAGAATAGCCGTAACTGTAAGTTGCCTAATTAATTAACACGTGTTGATTAACTTTCAAACATATTGGTTTTAGGGTCACGTTGCCATTGCGTTATAGGCGGAAATTACTAATAGGGGCCACGCCAATTTAACGAGTTTGCTTACAGGCAATGGCTTTTTAAGCCATCGATGAGTTGTCGCCATTTTTCGCCAGATCTTCAAAATTGCGCCCAAAAAGAGTGCCCGAAGCCCTGCTCACAATTAAGTTTACAAGAGTGACGTTGTCGCCTTAGTCACGTTGTCACTCGACTCATTCGATTTACCTGCATTAGCCTACACCGGTGCAGGAAAGTGCATATCGATATACTTCCGCTTGTTTTCAGATAGGCTTCACCCGTGGCAGTCTACAATACCGAGTGCAGCTGGTGCATGTAATACGAACGAACTCACTATTTCGGTTGCGCGTCCTTAGTGGAGGTGCCGACAACGCTCCGTTGAGATATGGACCACATTGCAGAAATGAGTACGTTACTCTTGTTTGGCAAGCGGCGCTTCGGGCGCTTTTTTTTTTGTGCAATTTTGAATTACTTAGTTGTTTTTTTTTGTTTTTTTTTTGCGTTATTTGGATACTGCCTGCATCGCATAACATAACTAAAAAAAATTAGGAAAGTCTAGAAACTCGGGGTTTAAAACATGTCGTTTTAAAACAACAGCGTGAGAGTGAGACAAACAAGTGCTCCATCTATTTCCACGCCTTTAAAATCAACTTACGCCACATTCATCGTAACGCATCATACTGTTGCAGGCGCCGCAAAGAACCACTCGCTTCTGGCACTCCGTGTCTAGATGATGTTGTAGGTTTTCGTTCAGAACGTTGACACCGCAGTCCGAACACTCCCTTTTTATCTTCGGACACTGAGACATGTGTGTCTGGGAAAAATCATACACTTGTACATACATTGGTGAAGAGTATTTAAAAAAAAAATCCAGATTGGGTTACAAACTGGAAACAGATAATTAAAATCTCAGTCCTTTTGTTGACCATCAGAAAAAAATACCAGGTGTTTTTGAGAATGCTTTCAGAAATCTCTACAAATAGGGTGGTTGAGAAAAAGAAAAACTTGTCACGAACATACAGTTGCGGCGGACGTCTTGGATTGCAAACAAAAACACTCATTAGCAATATAATTACCTAAAATTTACTTATTACCATATAATTAGTGAAAATAAACATGGTTTTCATTACAAACTTGCTGCGCGTCATCAAAAGCCCCTAAACAAGTTAATTTTAGGAACACTTGAAGCACGTGGTCAGCACCGGCGTGCGCTAGAGTTACCACTCGTCTAGCATGCGGAAGGCTGGCGATGCGAAAACGTAGATAACCGTCTTCCTACAGTGCTTTCGCATCGTCAGCCTTAGGCCTGGTTCACACTTGCGAATCGGCGGGCGAATCTGCAAGAATTCGGCCGCCGGGCGTAGCGTCCACTGTGCATTGCCGCGGCCGATTCCGCTTCGGTGGCAGCGGATTAGCTGTAAATGTGAACCAGGCCTCAAAGCTGTTGCACCAAAGGGAACTTTAGCGCACCCTCAACCTTCCGCGTGGTTCAAGTCTTCCTAAAATTTACGGACTTTTGGTTTTTTAGTGACGCTCATCAAATTTGTAATTGGAGCCACATGTATATTTTCACAAATTAAAACATTATTTGGTAAATTTTATGTGAATATTTAAGGTATTCGCAGAAACTTTCATTATCAAAATATAATAAACCCGCCAGGACATCAACAGGTTCACAAACAAGCCGTTCATCGCACAAAAAAAAACTTCAATTTTTTAGGTGTTGTGCGATAGTCATGCGTCAGAGGGCAGCCGGTACCTTGAAAATGGCACCGATAAGTCCTAAGGCTATGTGACTTCTCTTTTTATAAAGGCATTTACATGATTACTTGTCATCACTATGTGTTCCCAACATTTTGTTCTGTGTATTTTTTTATATATGCGTTTATGCGAAACCTTTAATTGACATATAATAAAACTGCTTCAGTGTAACATTTGTGCCGCAACCCGTGCGAAGTTTCAGGTCATTCTGGTATGTAAGCAATTGGGTGACTAGAGGCCACTGTTCAGGTTAAAGGCAACTTGCGATCCAAGGATTCAGTTTGACTTCGAAAGACTGGATCGGTATGGAAGAGGCTACAGCCCCTTTCATGTTGAAAAGTACCTTTCTTAACATCGGAGGGCATTTTTCAATGCCAAGAGTTAACTTTCTTTTATAATTGCCAGCTGTTAAAATTGTTTTGAGTACTCGTGTCGAAAACGCAAACATTACCTCTATTGCAAATTACAAAAGTATCACTTTGTATTCTAAAGCGGCGCAATAAAGCAGGGATACTAAAATGTATTTTTAATAATTGCATTATTTTCATATAATTATTTCCTGACGACGGCTCGAAGTTATTGCATGAATTCTAAAATTACGTAAAAGTTGCATATTACCAACTTTACTTACTGCTGCTTCTTGACGTTCTACAAACCCTGTTTGAATAACACATCAATTCTTGTTGTAAGGTGATATAACCATACAAAAAACATTTGGGTAAAAATTGAAGACAAACGCTTGTTACAATAAAAAATTACACCATCTTCCCGAGGGGAACCTTGGGGTGATGCGGAGCATCGCGGATCGTTATTAACGGTGTTAGTAACGTTGTTAACTTGCGTGTTATCACGTTGTTAACTTGCGTTGGTTACCACACATCGCGTGAACGTTGTTGGAAACTCCGCGATGCTCCGCATCACTCCATGGTTCCCCTCGGGAAGATGGTGTAATTTTTTAACGTGCATCACGCAGTAGTGATCACACAAACGCGTGCCGGTACGAAACTCATCCAGATCGAAACGGGCGGGGGGATCGAACCAACACCTCCTAGAGAAGAAGGCCAGAGCGCTCTGAGAGGTTACGTTACAATGGCGGAGGAAGGAAGTCCATGGCGCAACTACGTAAGAATACGCTATCGACGTGAAAAAAATGTACCTCGGCGCGGTGGTGTTCAAGCGCGTTTATCCGGCATTAATATACGTTTTAAAGGCGCAGTCTTGTACAATTTATTATATATATAATATAAACGTAATATACAACGCGTTAGCAAGGTTGAGAGTACCAAATTTATATTTATGAGTATCCCCGTAACCGCGGGACTACGTGCAGTTCCGCAGCACCCCACACTTTTCGAAAGGACCGGCTGCGATGCTGCCGATGCTACATGGCTCCGATTCTGGTGAATTTACGTTGTGCGTGAGCTGCTCACTGTCTGAAAAGGAACGCTGAGACATCTCAGAAGGGAAGAAAACCGAAAAGAAATCCAGTCGTTGTCGCAGGGAGCGCACACGAGCAAGAGATGGGTCGACAACGTCAAGCCTTTCGTCGCTGCTGCTCTCGTGTGTGGTACTTTCGAGACTTGTTTCCTGTCGTATTTATGTCATCACCATAGTCTCGGGTAGTTTTTTTTTTTTTTTTTTTTGTTCGCTTGATACTACGGCATTTACGTGGATTCGTGAAACAAGTCCTGCTTCGGTTTGAGTGACATGTGTAACAACTAGCCAACGAAGACTGGTCGATTAATCGATAGACCTCTCTCTCGACAGAGAGAGGCTTCTTAAAGTTCGTGTTCAAATGTGTGCGTCACGGATATTGCGGGACGTATGGATACGATTGACAGTTGAGAAACAACTTATTTACGGGCTTTCTTGGTCATGTAGGAAGCAAGTAAAATGCTGCAATCGTTGTTTTTTTTTTTTTTTCAGTGACTGCACGCAATAACGTCGCTTACATGATCGTGAGAAACACTTGTCTTGCCCTGTCCGCGTTGACCACGTCTACCTTATTTTTAACTGTTCTGTTTCGCTGTTTCCAAATCACTGCGTGTCTCGCCATTTCGTCGAAGTATTTCTGTATAAAATATGCATTCCTACAACAATAATTGCATGACTCAATGTTTTCGACTTAAAACAATCACATTTTTCTATAGACGTCTTGTACGCATACCTCGTGCCATTTCGTACCGATTATTTAGCGGTGTAATATTTTGCTCGTGTAATAAAATGTTTTATAGACCCGTTTCTATGTGCAGCTTTCATTTTAGCTAGTATGACACGCGTGTGTGACTAAAAACGCGTTACGACGGTCGATCTACGCGCGTTGCATTCGCTTTGACGCGCGCCCCGGATGGCCTTCCTTTGCGACGTCACGAGAAGAGCACTACGGCCTTGTCTTCTAGGAGGTGTTGAGTGCACGCAGCTGGTAGAGAGAGAGCGGAGAGAGTAACGCGCAGCTGCTGGAGAGAGGGAAGGAGGAGAGTTGCGCATGCGTAGTGTGAGTGCGGACTACGACGCCGCGGGACATAGACCCGAGCAAGAGATGCTCCGCATCTCAAAAAAAAAAAAAACGTGTCTAAATGCACTCATTCAATTTCGTAGTTTATGTAACTTCGCCTTTTTTCTATTTTAACGCAACAGATTTCAAACGCAGTACCACAAAGAATAATATGTTATTTCAATAATTAACAAGTTTTGTTTCCTACCTCCTCCGTCGACCAGTGAAATGAAGAGTGACAAAGCTCGCAATAAATTCTACGTTCTGTACATGACAGAAGAGTATGTTTCCAAAAGTTGTCCCGTTGCACAAGTAAGTGGCAAAGAGAGCAGGTAACTGGGTCTTCACCGCTATTTTCATAATGCTCGATCTAAAATGGGATGACAGGGATGACTAAAAAATCACACTTACTTCCTTGAAGAATAATTTTAGAGTGATACATCAAGTTCCGCGTATTTTTATACACATTTGTTGGTATACATATTTTTCTTTCTTACATATTTATCTTCACTTTTTTTATCTCTAAACCAAGAATGCAAGCGATTTGGTTTTAGACTTATATTAACCCTCGGAAATAAGCTCCTTGTTCTAGGGTTACCGCATTAATTTATCTCTGGTGCTCAGATATACTGCTCTCATGACCCTTTTCTGTCATAAAAAATAACTTGCAAACTAAAGCTAAATTGTGATACGCTTTTGAGACGCTCAAGTAGTAACCTTGCATTTTTCACGAATAAGGGGCAAGTTGATGCAATATTCTTTTACATGGCCAAAGCGCTTGACAAAGTCTGTCACAAATTATTGTTGCTCAAATTATTCCTACATGGTTAAAAGGTTAAAACAGCGCAAACAACGAGGATCGGGGAGCAGAAGGACACATACACAGCGCTGTGTATGTGTCCTTATGCTTCTCGTCCGTCGTTGTTTGCGCTGTTTTAACCTTTTTTTAAAAATGTCACACTAACTAGGCCAAGCTTCAACCTTTCCTACATGGTGTTTGTCCCAAGTTATGTAATTGGTTTAATGGCTATTTGTTACTTCGCACGAACACAGTTCATGTTGACGACAGTTTCTCCCTCAGCCTTACTTCAATGCCTGGCGTTCCTCAAAAATCGGGTTTGTGCCTGGTTTTATTTTTAATTTTTATTTATGATATAGTCTTATATGGTTAATATTCTGACATGCTGGTTGTTTTTGTTCTTTTTTCCGACGACGTTCTGTCGTTTAAAAAAATCCTGTCATCAGAAAATGGCAGTGTATTACAAACCGACGTGTCACGTACTCTTCTATGGTGAAAAGAGAATCCACTGCTGCCGAACCCTACAAAAACAAAAACAAAAAAGTGTTTTCGTTCTACCGACGTCGTACTCGTGTTGACAACACACATAATCTTGGTGGAATGCTTGTGCAGCGAGTCTCTCTTGTGAAAGGTCTTGGCGTGTGTATAGCTAGTGCCTTAACATTTGAAAATCATGTTTAATTTATTGTGGGCAGCGCGATAAGAATATTGGAAGTGATTGAAGAATTAAGAATTAACAGCTCTGTTGGGTGCGCTTTCT